GAAGTAAAGGAAAAAAAAAAAAGAATTGATATCAAACTCTGAACTTCCACCGCCTTCGTTGCAATTCGATCGGCCACGACCAATCAGAGCGATGGTTCTTCCGCAACTTTTCTCTCGTCACAAATCCAAGAGATCCAAATCCAAGCAAATTCAGCATCCGGATCTCTCAACTCTGACTCCGAATCCGACACCGGTCTCTTCTTCTTCTTCTTCTTCTCCTCCTCCGCCACCTCCTAGAGTCTCTCCGTCGTCGCCTCCAGCCTCTTCTTCTCCCCGTCATTCTTATAGTACCCGGAGAAATCCTCCACCCCCTCCACCGTACCAACCCACTGCTGCGGCGACTGCTCCTCCTCAACCGAATCTTCCACGCAAATCCTCGACTCGTCCGGCCCACAGTCGGTCGTCGTCCACTCCTTCACACTCCAAATCCTGTCACCGTCCAACACATTCCTCTGCTACGTCTAAGGGCAGTTTCTCTTCCTCCGCTTCACGCCCTACTTTCTCCCGTGCTTCGACCGTTCACCGGTTCAAGAAGCACGACCCCGATCTTCATCCGTTAAATCTTCCTCCCGACGAGCTACGTCGCCTATCAGCCATGGCTGCTGCTGCTGACCGGAGCTCGATGGACATCGACAGCAATGATCCTCGTCTGTCGTCCTCCGCTAACGGTGTGAACGGAACGCATGCCGAAAAGAGCCCTACCCCCCCTCCTCATAGATCAAATGGAACGACCGCTGAAGCGGATTCCTTTAAGTTGGCAGGAAATAAATTCTTCAAGGACCGTAATTATGCTCGGGCTATTGAAGAGTTCAGCAAAGGTGGGCGCTCTTCTGCGACGGTCTCATTGTTGCTTCTGCTGACAAACTTTTAGCCGTTGAGATTAACCCTAATTCTTCCGTGTACCTGTCCAACCGGGCGGCGGCGCACATGGCCGCCCATCAGTATATAAATGCTCTCGAAGACTGTGAACGGGCTCTTGAGCTTGATCCGTCCAACGCTAAGATTCAGTACCGTCTGGCCCGTATCCTCACTAGTCTGGGCCGCCCTTCAGAGGCACTTAATGTCCTCTCTCGCACGGACCCTCCCGCCTCGGCGACCGATCGTGCGCCTGCTGAGAAGATGATTCGCTTCGTGACACAAGCGGAAGAGACCCTGGCTCAGGAACGGGGAGTGTCGATGGCTCTGTTCTGTCTGGACCAGGCGAGAGCGCTCCTGGGCAATGGCGTTAAGGAGCCCCGCAAGTGGACCTTGATGACTGCGGAAGCACAGCTGAAGATGGCAAACGAGAATTCGTTTGCAAAGGCACAGGATATTGCCATGAACATGCTTCGACAGAACAACCAAGATCCTGATGCTCTGATGATCCGTGCCCGTGCATTCTACGGTCTGGGAGAGACGGAACAGGCGCTGAAAACCCTTAAAATCTGTATCAGCTTGGATCCTGATATGAAGTCGGCTATCAAACTACTTCGTACCGTTCAGAAGTTGATGCGCACGAAGGAGGAGGGTAATAATGCCTTCAAGGCCAAGGATTACCGCAAGGCGATCGACCTCTGGTCGCAGGCTTTGGAGGTAGACCCGACCAACAAGGACATGAACGCAAAGATTCTACAGAATCGTGCCCAAGCACACATCAACCTGAAGGAATACGATAACGCAGTCAACGACTGCACGGAGGCCCTGCGGTTGGATCCGTCGTATGTCAAGGCACAGAAGATACGTGCCAAGGCCCACGGCGGTGCTGGCAACTGGGAAGAAGCAGTGCGCGATTACAAGGCCGTGGCAGAATCCAACCCCACCGAAAAGGGTATCCAGGAAGAGATTCGCAAGGCTGAATTTGAGCTCAAGAAGGCCCAGCGGAAGGATTACTACAAGATCTTGGGTGTGTCAAAGGATGCTTCCGACCATGAGATCAAGAAGGCCTACCGCAAGCTGGCCATCCAGTACCACCCGGATAAGAACCGTGATGATCCTCAAGGTGATGAGAAGTTCAAGGAGATCGGAGAAGCTTATGAGACCCTGATCGATTCCCAGTATGTCCCCTTCTGTCTTTCGTCTATATATTTTTTAAATACAGGCTTTCTAACAAAAGTTTAGGAAACGTGCGGCTTATGACAACGGTGATGACCTCATTGACCCATCCGACATGTTCGGTGGCCATGGTGGCTTCGGCGGCTTCGGCGGCATGGGTGGCATGGGCGGTATGGGTGGAATGGGCGGCATGGGTGGCATGGGTGGCATGGGCGGCACCCATATCAACATCGACCCCAACATCCTCTTTAACATGATGAACGGCGGCGGCGGCGGTGGTTTCGCTCAAGCCGGCGGAAACCCCTTCGGTGGCGGCCAGCAGTCCCGCGGCGGATTCCCGGGCGGATTCCCCTTCTAATCCACAGCAGCCCCATGGACTGCACATATTCAACACGACAGGGATAACAGAACATATAAATCTTGAAGAAGAAACAGAAGGTCAAATTTGAAAAAAAAAGGAATCTCTAATAAACGACCGACAAGTCTCGTCCGTGGTTGCATTTATCAGTGCCAGGGCAATCATCTCGTTCTCCACCCTTTACTCTTTTCCTACCTTGCGTCGATCAATCCATCTTACGCCGTCTCATCTATAAGCGGTCTTCGATATTCCCCCCGGTGCATGCATGATTTCGGATTGTTAAGCACGATGCTATAGACTTGCTGCTTTGCTTCTTTATCTACCTCTTATCTTCTTTCCAGTTTCAACCCCATTTTTTTTATTCCTTCCCAACCTAGCATAGATGGGACGCATGTTTTATTTGTGACTTTTTTTACTTCCCTTTTTTTTTTCGCTTCCACTTTCCCAAAGATCACTCCCTGCTCTCTGTCTGCAAGGATGTGTTGAAGTGGGTGAAGACAAACAGTGGAACATCTTAGTGGCTACATTCGGGCGTTATATACTCTTGGGTCTTATGCTTGCTACCTATTGATACTATTTACTCATTTGCGTGTGGTCTGCGATGCTGCTATGTTTATGTTGGGATTTATTTGCGAAATACCAGTGGCTTAGCCATTATCGGGTAGCTGATGAGATCAATGGATATGTTGATGATTTATTATACGTGGTTCGTTTCGTAGCATGTTTCTTTCTCATTATGGGTAGGATTGGAAGTTTTGCTATTTTGCTGTTACAGGCACATGGCCAGTAATTACGCCAGAAGATTGATGCAATAGAAGATGAAATGAAAGGTTCATTTCCAGAATAAACCCTATTCACGTCAGAGGCGATAAGTTCCAAAGCTGCTAACAACAACCAAGAGCCATCCACGAAACTGAGAAATCAAGTCGTTCACGTTCAGCATGGAAAAATCCAAAATCAACAACACCATCAATCCAATTGCGCACCTCATCCCGTGTCTTCCAGAGACATGGGACTATGCTTCAACCATCTGCCATTAATGTTCGAAAATCCCCCAGAAACACGAATTATCAGATCATCCAAAGTTCGCTCAGCATAGCATACTACGTCCATTGCAGCTCGTGTCCCATAGATGACAGCCCCTTTGGTTTTTACTCGCGCTCTGCCTCCGGCTTGAATAAGTCGTTATAAACAAACTCAAGTCCTGGGTGCAGACCCCATATGTCTTCTACCTGAATGGGGATCTCCTCCTCGTATTTCACTTCTGGTTCCTCTTCGCTCTTTACCAAGACTTCGGGTGCAGCAGGTGGTACTAGGACTGTCTGACCATTTGGTTCATTGTTAAGCCCCAGAAGTTGATCTAGATGTATCTTTGCCTCTGCGCTCTGTATGATCTTGGTTACCTCATTTTTGAGGGTTATCTGGTCAGCAGAGAACTTCCGGATCTGAGGTTCGATGATAGCCGTGCGGTAGTCGCGCGACACGTGGTTCACGGTCGATTCTACCAGATGTCCTAGCTTTTCTCGTGTCATGTTCAGCAGATCCATTATGTTTTGTAGTGCTCGCTCGGCACTGATTCCAAGCACAGAGGAACAATTGTCTGCCGCCTGGCGAGTCATTATGTCTCTCATGCGGACCAAGGAATACCGGCCTATGTGCGCTGTGTCAGAAGATTCTATGAGATGTATCACCCGTTTGGAGAATTCCGGTCAAGATGGGGAATAGAGTTAAGAAGTCTCATGTTCCTTCCCTTCCTTATCCCACGGATAAAGAATAATAACTGAAAACTTACCAGACTGATCCGCACACTCTTGATACGCCTGCCGTAGCTCTGCTTCAATCGTCTTGGCAAATATCCTGTTCAATTCCTTTTGCTCTGACTTTATTGATGCTTCCAGCGGCTTGAGCTCATACCCTAGAGTTTTACAATAGGTGCTTAGCATCACTTCCGGCATTTCAGTATTCCTGTTGGTGGGGGCGCCTCTATCAGCGAGGGCCATTGCTCTGCTGTGAAAGTCTTGCAGGCTGCCTTCCATGCCGACAGCAAACTCATTGAGATGTAGAGGAACTTTCACACAGAATGTTCTTGTCCAACCGCCGACGATCTTGTCTAACAAAGGATTGGCTCTGCTGTAATGTGAGTATTGTCCAGAATAACAAAGACACGGTGCCGGGTTGCATACAGTTCCTGGTTCCAGTCTCTTTCCTTGAATACTCCTTGACGACGACAAATGGCCCGGTACGTATTGAACGCGAGACCTCCTTCGTTACGGGGTGCATTCCACTGAGAGATTATGCGAGGAATTTCCCCGCAGGCATGTTTTACTGCTCGGTCTACATTATTCGTATCTGTCAGACGAAAGCAAAATGCATTGACGGAGTCACATACCAAGTCGATTGATGATGTTCACTTCAAATGTTTGAAGAAGTGCATCAGAGTGCTCGCAAACCTGCTTTTCCATAACCTAACGGATTAAGCAAAAATTTCTGAATGCCTAGATAAGAAGCATACCTTTCTTAAGTTATCCACGGCCAAGTTGAATCCGGTTTCCAATTCTTGTATCTTCTCGTCCGACATGATATGTGCCGGACTAGTTGCCAGCGACCATAATGACATCGATTGGAACAGCCTTTTCAGTTGAGCTAACAATCGCAATGCCGATGCTTCCCTTGCTTTTTCGGTCAAGTTTATGCAATGGCGCTGTAACTGGGGTATTTCAGTATCCTCCAGCTTTGTAAAACCAGTCACATGGACTTCCTTCCGAAGTCTACCACAAAGCTTTTGGTATGCCTTTGTGGACACGCAGAACACAGGAAGTTCGTTCGCCAGTTTTTCATAGTCTCTAGCTGGCAAATTTAAGCTAGAAATCGCTGTCTGATCTTCATCCTCTCCAAACTCTTGATCTAACTCGTGGATGCCGCACGCAAAGTCCTTTTTGATCTCCTCCTTTGAGTAGATATTTCTGGCGTTGATGCATTCCCGGATAATGTCTGTTTTCATATTCTCGGTTTCTTCCTTAAGCCGCTTTGATTCTGCTTTTTTGATTTTGATCTGTTGGTTGAGTTGGCGTCGCTGTTGTTCAAGTTGTTTCCTCTCGGCTTTAAGAGCCTGATGCTGCCTCATCCGGTCTTCAGTTTCAGAGTGACTCGACTTTTGCACTTCAGTGGCGGAGATATCAACAGGAGCCGTTGTCATATCATTCTTGTTAGAGTCGGTTCTCCCGCTCATCTCAACCTCACTGGACATCTTTTCTTTGTTGGGCATATTGTCAGATTGGCTCAAATGGGACTCTTCACTGGACAGCCTAGCTTCGAACTCCTCGATCTCGTCAGAAATAGAGCCAATATCGTCCAGAATATATTCTTTCCTCTTTTCAAGCTCATTCACCTCGACTTTTAGCTGAGTACATAGTTTGTTTTGTTGTTCTCGCCTCTTCACTGACGGCAGCGCCAGTCTTAGAGAGTCCTGTACTTCACTCACAGAGATATCGTCTGTCTTGGTGCATATGAAGGTGATGTTATTGAAAGCACAATCCATATGCATTTGCATCTTGAAGTTCTGCCCTAGAAGGTCATGGGCAACTTTGTCATCCACAGCTCGATTAATGGGCGAGATAACCCAATGAGCTGAGCAACGTTTCATATAGTCTTCTGCAACCGCCACGCGCGCAGCATTAGAGTCAAAGACACCAGGCAAGTCGACAAGAACAGCTCCGGTAGACAGCGCCTTTGCTTTTACATAAATTCGAACCACGCGAATAAGCGGCCAGAGCCTTATATCACTGCCCCTCTGTGAAGGGTTCTTCGAGTTGTGCCTTTTGCCCTTGCTATCGATGTAAGACTTCAGTTTCCGAGAGAAGACTCGGGCCTTGTCCTCTTCAAAGATTAAGGTACTACCAAGCAGACTCAAGACTTTCTGATCCTCCAAGAGCTTCTCAACTGATGTGTTGGTGATGTTTTCCATCTCCAGTGAGGGGTACACAGCTTTGATCTTGTCAAGTGCAACACCGGCATTAGAATCCTTTGGAATGTTCTCTCGGGTGACATCCCTCAAGCTGTCGCAGAGCTCTTTGAAAAGGATGCGTAGTTCGTGTTCCCACTCGCTGCGTTGGATGAATTCAATGCGTTCTTTGTACCGGAACTCTCCATCGTTGTATGACAGCTCCGTTGCCACTGCAGTGGAGGCCCGCATGCAGTTTGTTGCGAGTATGTTTTCCTCATCGGCGATGGCATTGATGAGAGACGATTTTCCGACACCAGTGCTACCAACAACCCCGATAATCACTTTTTCCGTCTGAGAAAAGGAAAGTGCCAATTCAATGTCGTCTTTCCAATTAGCGTCACCCAACCAGACATCAGACCTATTGAGGACGCGCTGGAGATTCTCTAACGCTAGTACTCCTGCGTCGACAGCAGATTCCAGGGCAGGTATCATGGGGTCTTCGGTTTTTCTTGGGTCATGGGTCGGAGAGATATCTCTTTCGGTCATTTCCACATCCTCATCGTTAGAGTATGCGGCATCGTCATCGTCACCGTCTTCACCATCTTCATCGTCGGCCCCCTGGCACAACTCGGCTAACACCTCTGTACCGAGGTGACCGAGTTGGGCTTTGAATGTGGATACTTATAACTATTAGCGCTCAACATTTGCCAAGCGGATGTGGTACTCACTGGGTATGGACGAAGTCATCTCAGCCTCAAGCTGGGTCATGCTTGCAAAGCATGTTTCATAGAGAGTTTTCAAACTGCTCTCATAGTCGGCTTGTGCTTCCATCGGCGTAGACATTGAGGCAAGTATCTGGACTCGCTCGGTGTACTCTTGGCGAAGTCTCGGTGTTACTAACGCCCATGACTCCTTGAAGTTAGGGTACTGGTGTGCTAGCACAGATAGTATTAGAATATCTCCCTTGCTATAACAAAGTATGGCGCAAGACTTACAATGTTCCTGACCCTCCCATATACATGAGTGCCGAGCCTGCTGCTCAGCTATGTAATGAAGCTGAGCTAAATTGATGACTTGGTCATCCATTTTTCCAATTTAGGGTAGCGTATGGACACTAGATAGAGGAGTAGAAGAAAGAAGTGACAAAGAAGTTATAGTAGATAGTGTCAAAAGTGAGTGGCTAATGAGAGATAGCATAGAAGCTAAGAGATTGAAAACAGCAAGCACAGATATGAGTCTTCAGCAACAATATATCGTCAAGGAGGAGTGTTATGATGAAACACTGGAAATCTGTTGAGATTGAGCCTTGATATGTTTGTTATTAAAGATAGCTTGTGTTGTCGGGGCCACGATAAGTTTGACCTTCACTTCATCGAGAGTGAATCTTTACATGAAGCTAGAGAGATAGAGAAGTGTGTCAGATCTCGCACCAAGGACAGGTGACAATGCCCTTGGTAGCTTGTTGAAGGCAAGTGCATTGCAGAACACAAGTCTACAATGCTTGAGAAGTCGTGATATTGGGTATAATGAAATACTTCTGCACATGTTAATAGTTGTTTGAAGCACAAAAGGCATTGGTGTTGGTAGCAAAAGGAAGAGAAAGGACAAGTCACGAGATTGCAGTATGAGGCACATGCATCCAACGCCAGAGACAATTTGAATATTTCGCTATGCTATCATATATTTGAATACCATGGGTACTGCAATTTCGTGTTGCGCAATATGCCGAAGAAGAAGGAAGATGCGATAATGTCTATTTCCATTCATTCTGCAATCTCTGCCGATATTCAGCAATCATCTCCGCGGTGATATTGCTTCCTCCACAAACAACCACAACCACCCGACTGTCCGGAGTAAGATCTGGAACAGCTTCCCTCAACCTTGACCCTGCCGCTATTTCAACACTGATCCCGCATGCCAGCTCCACCTGCAACCGAAGCTCATCAGCCAAGTAAATGATTCCCTTCGCGGCCTCAGCGTCGGATCCAACAACACTGACAACGTCAACACCGGCTGGTGGTGACTGAGCATTCTTCAAAGTCTGAGGAGCCACACGAAGCGCACCCAAAGAAGTCGCCAGGGACGAGATCGCCGGAAGAGACTGCAGACTTCCGCTCCGCAGCGAGAGCGCCAGAGAATCTGCTCCATTCGTCTCAGCAGCCAACACACAGACATTCTTCGACGTTGTACCAGTTATCAAGTCTGGTGTCGGATGAGATCGCATGTAATCACCAAGTCCTTCCACAATCCCATTAAAAAGACCTCCGCCACCAACGCTACATACAATGGCATCAGCGGGGAAAGCATAGCCTGCAGGAGTGTCTCTGGGCGGTAACTGGGTAGCAATTTCCGAAACCATTGTCCCCGCACCTTTCCAGACATCTGGATGATCAAATGGGGGCACATAGATGTTCCGTTGCTCAGCCGCGTCAGCGTCTTTCTCGTCTGCCTCCTTTTCGATGAAGGTTTGCCGTAGATAAGTGTCGGCCTCGAACCAGCTTGACCCATGCTGGATCACATCTGTAGCTCCAGCAGCGCGCAGCTTGCTAATCATGAGAGGCTTGGTGCTATGTGGTACGACGACTGTGCAGTGGCAGCCCAGATCTCGGGCTGCGATGACGGCGGCTAGCCCTGCATTTCCGCCCGAAGAACTGTAGAAGTGAAGCTCCTTGTCTTTGTTTGCAGGATCCAGGAGAGCGCTGCGAATCAGATTTCCGATACCTCTGCAATGAATATGAGTTACTTCTGTGCTTCTTGATAGTTCTTGTGGAAGTTTCAGATGGTCTACCTCGACTTGAAGGACCCTGAAGGTTGAAGCAGTTCTAGTTTCAGAAAGACTCTACTATATAGACATTAACAACGATGTATAAAAGGTATTAGATCAATAGAGTAAATGTACTTGCCATCCTGCTGCCTTTGACAATGTCGCAGACTCTATCAACGGCGTCTCGATCCATGGCTTCCGCTGCGTGGGGTGAGTACCGGTCATGGTCTTCTTTATTAGGACAACAAGACCAAACGTGAGGAATAAACTATAGACAAAGAAAGAAATATCGAAAGACCAGGGAGAATTATCGATAAGAAACGAGAAGGTGTTATAGACTTATACTAGACAGCATTGTCCTTTGGTAAGGCCACAGTAACATAATTCCGCGCCCTTTCAATGGCATCGAGCTTAACAATTGGCCGAACATAATGCCCTTCTCCACTATAAATTTACCGGCCGGACGAGAACCTGAAGAGATAAGAACCATTCAGTACAATAAGATTCTGCCTTATGGCAAGTCGATCAACTAACATCAATGGCTCTAAAATAACTTTTAACAGAAAGTTCTAGAATTTATTCCAGTTCCAACATTGTATACGACACCCCAGCCATCTTCATAACTATATTGCCGATAGATTCAACACTTTCTTCCTTCGGGCATCCCAACGAGTGAGCAACAACATAATCGCAACAACCGCCAACTGCGCCACGGTTGTTGCCAGATTCGAGATAAACCCTCCCCTGAAGTTCGGGGCTTCCACTGCTGGGTACTGTAATAGTTGTGTCCAAGCGGACATGGCTTGGCCGATAGCGTTCATACTGGCCGTCACAATTGCACGCTCTTCGGCGTCGTTAGCCATCGTTACGGTTGCCCAGCTCATTGTGAGAGGGCTCATTGCTAGATAATAGGCTTCATTAGAACAATATCTCAGTGGCGGTGGTGGATGAAGATAAAAGGATGAATGTGTTTATGCAAGAGAGTTTTGGTACTCACCACCCTCAGCTCCGGTAAGAATAAAGCCTGCCAGTCGTCCAGCCTCACCCACATCCCAAACTACCAGCAAAACAAGACCCAATAGAACTGGAATTGTAGTGATGATAGAAGGAAGCCAGAAATTCCTCTTCTTGTCCGCCGCGGTCCCCGCGATCAAGGCAGCTACAATAGAAACAGCCGTTGCAATTGTCGGGAGGGTATTGATTCTTGTGACAGAATAGAGGTCCGGTTTTGCTTTGAGGTACAAACTGAATGGTGTGGACGAAGCCAGAAAGTTCTGGTCAATGAGGATCCACTGCGCAACGAAGACGTACCAGTGCCAACGGCCGAGCACACGCTTAAAAATGTCACGGGAGACTTTCAGTTGGCTTGGAGCTGTGAGGCCTACGAGGCGGGAATTGGCGAGTGCGTGCTCTTTATGAGTTAGGAACCGGGGCTTCGCACGATGCGGGACGTCTAGGAATGCTATATAGCCTCTGTGTCCAGTTAGTATTGTCCCTGTATCGAAGGTGGTGAGTCCGGACGTACAGGATACATATTGGTATTGTGATGATAGTGCAGACGATGAAAAGCCACCTATGAAGCTTATGAGCCCTGATATTCATTGTTGTACAAGTGGCTCATAGATGAATACCTCCACCCGGCCAATCCATGCGTATTGTTCAGATTGGTATACGCGGCCGCCTGAAGATAGCCAGCGAACATTGTCCCCAGAGGTGATGCGATGAAGAACAGAGACACTCGACGACCGATTTCTTCAGGCTTATACCACGATCCAATGACATATATCACGCCGGTAAAGGAGCACGATTCGCAGATGCCGATGAGAACCCGCATCGCGTAGATAGTGCCCGGATTCTGTGCCCAGGCACATCCAAATGTGAACAGGCCCCACCCGGCTTCTAACGTAGGTAGAATGATATCGATTCGACTTCTGGTCAGAAAATAGCATGCAGGGATCATGGATGCACAATATGCTGCCCAGAATGCGGCTGTAATGTAATTGAGTTCATTACCGACGAGTCCAATGTCTTCTTTCATTCCTCTGTGTATTACTGTTAGTCTCTGTTGAATTTGCTTGAGGACATTGCAATGGAGCGAACCTACGATACGTAAGCATTTGTAATGGCCTGCTGGTCAAGGTATTTCGTGAAGAACGAAAGACAGCCGAATGTCAGAATCAGAACGTCCAATTTCAGTACCAGTCGCTTTTCTAAATGATTCATGTCTCTTGGATACCATCGTGTCCATGTCAGGAATTGAATCCATAGTCCATCATGACCTCCGAGGACAGTGGTTTCATCCCCAGAAAGCTCTTGTGTTGAATCATGGGCGAGCGTCTTTGATTCACCCATCTTGGTACTTTCTGAAGGTTAGGTAGGTTTAACCAAGTTAGGTAAGTTAGGGCTTCGCATAAGAGAAGCCGAGGACCAGGATGTATTTAGCAACTAAATAGGAAGAATATAGAAGTCTAGATATGACATGAGTTGCGACAACCCCCCTCCAATTGCGGGGGTTGAATGGGGTGCCGATAGAGCGATCCCAGGGACTTATGGTATCATTGCCATCGATCCTCTAGTCTGAAGGCATTTCCAACCTGAGAAATAAATGTCGGATTGCACTAACAATTCTGAGTTCAAGTTTGTTTTCGTAGCGTGTTTCTGTGCCGAAACTACGTCTACTACCCAATGGTTATTAGGGCTCATGTCATGGCTGGCAGCATTGACGCCATCCAGGCCATTGATGCAACTAGTGGCCTCGGTCAATTGTGTCATTGCATGTTGATATTGCTACCCATATAGCATCATTGGCCCGGTTACATCTCGAATGATAAAGCGAATGGTGTTTGAGAGCACATTTAGTAATGCTGCTTGTCATCCATCCGTCTTTGCCGTCAAGTAGAAGTAGACCTATTTTATAAGACGTAGAAAGCGCCTACTGCAACCCCTACTGCTCCACACCCAAAACAACCTGCAGGGACATCAACTTCCGATCTCAGAATGGCCCATCTCGAAGCGCGCAAGCACATATCCCCTGATTCAGGTTTCCCCATCACCATCCACCCCAACTTCAACCCCAAAATCAAGCACCATGTCCCTCCAGACTCCATTCGGGAACCCTTCAATCCATCAAAAGACCGAGCACTCTTTGCCGACCCTGAAAAGAAAGCTCTATTTTCTGTGGCCAAGCCTGTAGACCTGACTGAGTCAATCGGCACCCTTCTTGAGAATGTGCAACTGTCTCAGCTGAACGAGCAGCAACTGGATGAACTGGCTCTTTTGGTGACCGAGAGGGGTGTGGTGTTTTTTAGGGATCAGAACTTGACGACGGAAAAGCAAGTTGAGTTATTTCAACATTACGGTGAGTAGCGTATCAAGGATTCCAGTAGGGAGGGTCTCGATGCTGACTTGTACTTATAGGAGTTCTGGATAAGCATCCTGCTCAGAAGGTGAGAGTGAAGAGAGTATCTAGATCGCAGGTTTCCAACTAGGGCTAACAGCTATACAGGATCAAAAAGTTAGATAGTTCTCGATACATGGCTGCTCTTTCTCCACTGACGAAATCATATAGTTCGTGAATATCCACGGTAGCCGTGAGGATCATCGCGAGATTGCCAATTACACCCCATGGGTAAGATCACCATTCCATATATATGCACCAGTTATTCGCAACGCAGCTGTAACTCCTCAAAGCCGAGTGGCGAGTTCCACGCAGATACTTCGTTTGAAATTAACCGTATGTCTTGCACACTCACTAAATAAAATATCGGATACTCACCTCAACTAGCGCCATCATATTCCCTCCTGAGAATGGAAGAGCATCCAGACGTCGGAGGTGACACTGCATGGGTATACTCCATCCACCCATTCAACCTAAGCCAAATATCCCCATCTAACCCAGAATATCATCAGGTCTCCCAGTACGGCCTATACGACGCTCTCAGCGACGCTTACAAGAAGTTCCTCGATGGCCTCCACGCAGTACACACCTCTAGACTCCAATGTCCGCCCCCCATGCCTCTGTACAACAAGCGAAAATCATGTTCATACTAATGCCAAATAGATGACACAATCCTTGACCTCTGGGGCGTCGGTCCAAACAGACCACCCATCGACACCCACCATCCCGCCGTTCGAACACACCCAGTCACCGGACTGAAAGCCCTGAACGTGAACACAGGGTTTGTAACCGGCTTTGCAGAACTCAAGAAACTCGAGTCAGGTTAGTATTCTAGTTTTTGTGTATGAACAGTGCCGGCTGGCTCGATGACCATTCAGTATTGACGTGATATGCTGTCTAGACAAGCTTCTGGATTTCCTATCGCATCATATCCATTCCGCTGATGATCACTACGTGCGTTGGAAGTGGGCTGTTGGTAGTGTTGCGATGTGGGATAATCGGTATTACACTCCTATGTTGTCCTTTCCCCCAGTTTATGATGGATGCTTATGTTGCTGGCTATAGATGTACCGTTCACCGAGTGATCCCCGGAAGGTATAAAGGGAACAGACGAGGAATTCGCACAACCGTCTTCGGTGAGAAGCGTGAGTACCCGAAATACATCGTTTATCAGAGATATACAGATGAACTGACTGTCCCGGGCTGGCCAGCTTATTTTGATCCGGCAAGTGAGAGTCGAGATGAGCGCAATTTGCGCGAAGAGAAGAACGCCAATGGGGACGCTTGACGGCAGTACAACGGATGAGTTCTTTAAGGGTTTAGAGATTCTTTGATAGAATGCCTCGTAGGACCAAATCTATTCAGCGGTACTGAAGAACTTCAGTTGTAAGCTACATTTTATTCTGTATCATAGGTATCATTCCTACCCATCTAGTAGTATATCACGGCATCCTTGATGCCTCTTTCCTGTACTGCTAATAAACATTCACTGTCCGAAGAAGTAAATAGGCGAAAGAAATACAGTCGGACTCCCTGTCACCCACGAAGTGAATATCAAACCATGTCATCTTGAAAGTGACTGATGGACAAAATCGAAAAAAAAATCCAATCCATCGCAGACGACGAGAATGAAACAAGGCGAAATCCAACTAAATCAGATCAAATAGTGAACAAGCAAACGCATTTAAACATGAACATTAAGCTGTAAATCTTTTGCCTTCCAAGGGATACGAAAGACAAACCTGTTCCGAACGATTATTGCTCCCCTAAACGCCGCCCAATTGATAAAGCCGGGTATATCCAGCACCATGATGCAAAAATGTACGGAGAATAATAGATCGGTGAGGACTCTGTCGTGACCGGATCTACCAAAGCATACCAGTAGATCCAAAGCCTAGTCCTCATTTTTGGGCCTGAAACCTATGCACGTAGAGATGTGGATCAAGGGGGAAAGCAAAGGCAAGGAAATTGGGAAAGGAAAAAA